GAGAACATCAGAGCGTTATCCGGAATATCCGCCCGTCGATACCATCCAAATTTGCAAGCAACTAATGGAAAAATATTTTATTCAATGGAAAAGTTCTGCTGATGCTGCTGCAAAATCAATCTATCCTATCAAACGGGATGGCATTTTTCGCATTATTTCAATTTTTCATTCAGGCAGATAAGAAAATAGAGGAGGTGGAAATTTCGCATTATTCTTCTCATTAGTGGATTGTACTCTAAGCAGATGAATAAAGGAGCAGATGAATATCTCAGAGCCATGTGTATCTAAGAAATACCAAGAACATCTTAGAAATCAACGATAATTTTCTGATAAAAATTTCAATTTACAATCTTTTTTTTCGATGATTCGTCTTAAATGTATTCATTCGTGAAATTTCATAATGATTCATTTTATAAATTTATATTAATATTAATTGTACTGATTGAATTATATTGATTCAATCATGTAGTTTAGGTTGAAATGGACTAAGAAATTAGTGATATTTTATTGTTTTATCAAATTTCAATTCATTTCAACGATGACAATAAATTATACGCGTATTGATAGGTACAATACAATTCAAGCCAATTCGGGAGATAAAGGANAAACGTGAGCACTGTGCTTAAATGGAATCTATCTGCTTCATAGGCACACCTCAGTGTTCAACTGCATTCAGTGAGTTATCGGGCTTCGCGGAATCTTCCAATCACTTCATCACTGATCTAATGATCATTACTTTCAGTACCGTTGCTTGTCCTAAATCAGCACAAGCTTCAGGCTGACTAGAACGATCTGAATCTGACTTCACTGTAGCTAACAGTTCCAGAATCCGAAAATTTCCTTAACCGAAATTGAGGTTGCCATCAAAATTTGATTCGTTTTCATCGGTCGAGCAATCAATCACTATTCAGATGATCAGAATCGATTGGTGATCAGGTGATGATCAATGGGTGGTGATCGGTGATCAACTCACGCATGATGAGATCAATCTGACAATGAGGTTGTTAGTATCAATGAATGGATGCCGTGATCAATCAATAAACAATTCGTCCATTTCGTGAATGTGCTGGCTTAAAACATGCCATATTGTCGTTAATCGCGTTTGTTTGTGTCGAAAATTTTGCCTTAATAGCCTTCCAGCTGAGCGATTGTTCCTTGAGTTGCGCGATAAATTTTAAGCGAATTTCCCTGTAAATTCCATCGTTTCACAAGGCAACAACTGCTAGTTCAGCATGATTTCTAGTAGTAAGTTCTAGTGGGAATAGCAGCAATATCATCTAACTCTGACGCTATTTAAATCAGAACATTTTTGAAGAAGGAATAAAAAACTAAACAATAGAATTCCCACATCAATTTGTTTGAAAACATGGAAGTTTCACTTGAATTTGTTGAGAATATTCGGAAATTTGTGCACAAAACCGCACCTATTGAAGATAAGATGCATAATCGGACTTTTTCCATTCCAAATGAGGCATAGAGCAATATCGGTGGCATTATAAAAGACCGTGTACGGCACATAATATGGCCTCAAAAACATGAAGTATATGGAGACGGCGAGTGTGTAACCCCCATTCAGCATCACCTGAATGGTGATCAATATCTCACGTCGATGGTTCTTGGAAGTCATCGCTGAACCCTGAAAAATACTTTTAGATGATATTTATGATAAGATCAGTGCCATTTTAATCACTACTACTGCTATCAGCCTTATTCCTTGTTAGCCAGCACAATGCCATCCTTATTATCCCTCATATCACTACCACTCAACAGCGATCTCAACACAAATATGATCTTTAATGTCTACTATTAATAACCATTTGTGATATTATTAGTAACTCATTCTTCCAAAGATTCCCATTCCCATAATACCCTTCTAATTATCAGATGAAAACAACTCAGTTCAACTGATCAAATATCAATCATTTTTCCTTCGCATTCGTTTTTGATCGTGAGAATGGTCAGAAAATTGTCCTGGGCTAATCATTCATGAATGTTTTAATTGCGGTGTTGGATACAGGAGTAGTTCCCAGGTTCGAACATCGGAAATGAGTAAGATTCACTCGTCCAATGCTAATGAATCCATCTGCTCAAGAGAACCGAACTAATCGCTGCTATCTGATCAAAAATCTTAATAAATTCTTCAAAAAGTTGATGCTGTCATCGCTAGAGTATGAATGTGAATATATTAATTCTTCAAAAATGGTCAAAATCGTGAGAATGGTCAGAAAATTGTTAATACTATGAACACGTTCAATCTAATTTACGTATCTCAACTTTTCATGTCAGATTTACTATTGTTATGCGAAATTCATATGAGATCATTAAACATTAAACAGCACATATCCATTACAATAATTAGAATCTTAATTTGTTAATGCTTCAGAAAGAACATTCAGATTCCAAATTACTACTAATCATCAGTGTCTCTCCTTACTTCAGATACTTCACAGTCAAGTTAAAATTGAAATTCAGCAAAAAACATTCTATACGTGTGCGTTCTTGAGCAGAGTCTCATCAAATTACGAACGTTGCCTTAATTTAATGAACACCGCAATATGTTAATGAAAAATTCCATTAGTATCGCATAATTCATGAAGCTTACAATTAGAATTAGATGTTTTAGAGTCCCTCTGAAATTAGACATATTCATCAGTCTTGATTATTGTATAGCTCATAGTGCAATTCATTATCCTATTATTCATGTCCTATTATCGCTGTTTCTTAGGATATCATTCAGTCTTGAAGTCAACGCCGACTTTCTATCGCAATTCTGCAATTCACTGTGATTCAATCACTAATTGAGTAAATATACGAACTTACCAATCGACATATACAAACGTTTATAAAGTGCACCTATAGTCTTATGCCGTATCACTACTTTATCGACCTCCTCATTTCATTCGCTACTTATCGAATTTACTATCAAATCAGGGAAGAAAACAGTAAAACCCACAAACCTTTCGAATCACATCAATCACAATAAGTAAATAGCAAATCCCTGATAAAGCACTGCAAGTTAACGTATTAATTCTATCAAACGCCGGCATGAAGTCTGGACTCTCATATTCCCACATCACCAATGTTGCATTGAAGCCATACGTTGCATATGGTGTCAACCAAATCAGTGAGAAAGCACTTGGTATGGCCATAAATATTATAATGATAACCTGAATTTTAACTTATCGTTAGCACATTGAAACGACTAATTCTCTGTGAGATTTATCAAAATTCAACATAAACCATTTTATATGGTTAAGGTAGAACTGATATAATGAATATGAATGATTTTATCGAGTACACTGCACAGACCATGCATGTACTTGTCCTGTCTCATTTGCTCTTATCATGCTGAAAGTCAAATGACTTAATTTGATCTCAGATAAATGATCTCAAGCTAGTAGTGTTAGTTTCAGATCCGGGCCAAGTACAATACGTCTTGAATTGAAGTTCGAATCAGCTAGAGGATTATTCTCAAAATCCAGCAAAAGTTGATGAAGCAATCTGCTTAATTCAGTGATTACTTGCAGAAAGCATGAGATGCAGTATGATAGAGTCTTTCATTCTTATAACATCTTAAAGAACATCTGTAGATGGATATGTCTAGCAATTTAGTGCAAGCTTCTGGAACAACTCAGAAATCATGCATAAATCATCTTATATGGTAACGTCGCTATAGATTTTTAGATAATCCAATATCGTTCCTTCGTACTGATCGCTTGAAAAGTTCATAATGAATGCACTGTTAGAAGAAGTCTTTCGATTGATCACTTCTCACTGATCACTGCTCCAAAAGTACATCAGCTCATGTGGTGACACCAATACTGCTTACAATTTACAGTTAATTCATCCATAATTACTGTACTTTCGGGAAGATTTCTCATAACTAATTTAATTCCGATAAAGCAAGTTATAGAAATTTATAGTTACTGCTAGGAGAAGGAACTTTCCGATTCCTGAATCGTCGTTCGGATTATTCGAAGAAGTTTATGACTTCCCGTTGATCACTGATCGAAAAGTACATTTGCCTACGTGGTGCGACGTGAAATTCATAGTTACTTTGACGTGACATTGCAATTACTTTGTTAATTTATAGTTACTTTGACGTGAAATTAATAGTTACTTTGTATGCGATTGATATTCGAATACACTGATTGTGATTCGAATCGAATTTATAGTTATTATACTTTGAGGTGTATTCGAATTTGGATGATGCACGTTTGAAATTTCAAATGAATCAAACTGATTCAAAGCGGCCCACAACTAATGACGTAACTGTTCAGCTAAGATACATCATAACCGAAAGTGTTTCGTGTTTGATGAACAATGACCATGAAGAATGTTTGCGTGGTAGTATAGAGGAACGTTACGAACGTTCAGATCTATCGGATAATAATTTTGTACGAAGGCAGTTAGATAGAGTGAGTATAATCATTGTATACTTACGATATTCGTACAGTAAGATACTGTACGAATACAGTAACACAAACTAATGGTGATTGTTTTATTGTGCATTGAGAGCATTCACTATATTATGTACAGTATGCAAATAGTGCGATGAAAAGCAATCAGAACGAATAAAAAGTACTGTAACAGTGGGCAGAACCAATGGGAGTTTTGAGCATTGCAAATGAAATCGTTACACTAGGAAAAGAAAGAACGGTATGATGGAATGGTAAATGAACCGAAATTCCGGTTAAATCTTGGCGAGAGATGCGCTGAAAGATAACCACAGAAAGATAATCATGGTAAAAACAACCAGCGGTAAAGAGCGTTTGGTAAAAAAATAACCAACCCATGTTCTGGTCTCGCTGAAGAAATGGTCGGCAACAACGCCGAACAACAATAAAGTTAAACGATTGGCTGCCAACAAGACCGTCAACGAACCAATATTATACCAACAAAGACTCAATTGAAAACCACTCAACTGCAATTGGTTGAAAAACACCTAATTCAGGTTATTTTTTTGCCGAATCCAGTTGTTGCAATACAACCTCTATCGTCTTCTAATTCATATTTTTAGGGATGATCGATATCCGATATCGAGGACAACACATGCATTTTCTCTCAGTATGAATGCGTAGTGTTATTTATTCAGTGCAAGTAAACTTTCCAAAATATGCGAATCAACTTCAGAAGAGAGAATAACAAAACAACGGAACTCTCCAAACAAACGCTCCACTCAAATCCGCCCACCTTCACAGCTCACTTCGTGAATGTGTCACCAGTCACAGCAAAGAGCGCATTATGGATATAAACGAATAATTGCGTGATATCAACGAATCCGCAACATAAAATTATTTTATAAGACGATAAACGCATCAACTTTGAATCTTTGATGATTATCTGCAAATACGAAAATTTTCATAAATGACCTTCCCTCTAAAAACCATAAATAAACTAATTATTTTGTAAGTTCCTAATAAATGTCTCATACTCGCAAGAACACGATTATCACCCATCGTTACAGATCATTCGTGTTCAAAAGACTTCATTCACCCTCACAATACCTATTCTCAAGAACATTCTATTAATACAATCACTCCCGAACTTACCCAAATATATGTCTTTCATCACCATTATCAACCCCGTTACTTTATTACTATTAATGTTATTGTTATTACTATCAATATCAATGTTATTATCATTAGCCACAGCAATTGTCATTGTTATTGCAATTCCGACCATTGCTACCTATCACCTTTGTCGCAATTAGCCCATGCGATGATCCCGAGCATGAATGTTTTCGTTCACGAATACACACCATGAATATTTATGTGCATGAAACGAAGAAAAATAATGCACATTTAGATTGTAAGTGATGAAAATGAATGAAAAACAAGAATCTCACCGATTGTATAATGAAATAAATGCCAATACAAAATAGCGACAGACACGCGATAACACAACCGAATAACACGTTAAATGTATTTGCCATGCTTTTCGAGAGTTGATTCAATATTAATTATTGTTATATGATAGCCACAATAACATTAACACCACTTGCCGTAAGGAATAATATTTATGTCAATAAGAAAATTATACTCGTGATCATAAAAATGATGATAACAATACGTAGTAGTTAGAATAACAGTAATTTCTACCGTTGTTCCTAGAACTGATCCAGATTATCTGTGATCAGTGCCATTACAAGCTTTATCGCAATAGATAAGCCAACGCAGCGGCTGTTCCCATGTTTTATCGCGATCAACATTCTTTTTATTATATCCTTCTCCACGCACCTATAATAAACTCTCATTTAATGCTGCGTCATTGAATCGAATAAACTTCAAAACAAAACAATACTATTTGATCATTGCAAACCAATTCCGAACAATGGAACGATTTCAATTCAGAACAAAATTCGGACTTTTCCAAAGATTACCATCCACTCAATAAAATATCCATTCTTCCATATATCTCACAAACGTTTTTCCGCTACCAAATGCTGCATTATTATTTCATAACCGGTTTGAAAACTCAAGAAAAATCAAAAGAACAATGCGATACTTCAATAAAGGCAATTGTTTCCGACCGAATCTCCCTCGTTTTCATAGCGTTTTAACATTTGAAGCATGCCATCCGATTCGTTCAGCATTTGAAGAATAATATCGTTCCTTTCCATATATCCTTACTTATCCATTTCACATTACTGATTTAATAATAGCCACGCACTCGTTTAATCAACGTTCATTTACTTATTTATATATCAGTAGCGAGCAGGCCACTCACTCCTCCCAAATGATCTGCTCTTCAATAATTGAATTCTTTTTCGTTTTTTAGGCAAAGAAAACGATACGACTCAACGAACAAGCTAACGGAAAAATTGAAAAACAAAAAAACGGAGGAACAAATGAGAAATTTCTCATAAAAATGGAAAGACTGTTCGTAATTCGCATAGCATTGTTTGTAGTCGCTCATTATGCATAAAGCAATCATAATTACTACAACTTTACACCAGTAACTGGAAAAGAAATTTGAATTTCTTTTTGAGAGGAAAAAGATCTTATTTCGCAACTGCCTCAATACGAAAGAAGGGATATATTTTGAATGCCAGCGAAAATTTTCAGAAAATAACAAAGAAAGATATTCTAATGTTGCGATATGAGCTATTGTGTGAGTTGAAAAGGATGACCGAATAACAAATTCATAAAACTACTCTCTCATGAGTCGTATGACTAACGAGAAAAACTATCAATTTCATGCGTATCCATCCAATTCTCTACTGAAATCTCAACTCTTGAACAAGGTTAAATTTCGACGTAATTTGTAACTTTACGACTAAAATCCGATCNTTGGGACAGTCCAACAATACGGATAAAGTCTCATTATCAAACTGTTCCTACAAAAACAAGCGATTCGATTGTGCATACGATTGTCAGATTGAGGCTAATCGCTAATAAGAGTGAAAGTGCCAGTAATAACTTCAAGTAGTCGTTTAGTAATACACCTCAAAGTTCTCGTCAAATTGAAACCAATCCATACTTTATCTACACTCTACTGCAATATAATCAATCACTCGTAATGACGGATTCAATTCGAATATGTGACGTTGATAACAATTTAAAAGTACAATGCAAATTTGCAACAGCAACACTAACAATACAAGCTTAATTGCTCATCAGCTCAATGGCGATCAGCTCACAATACTTACTGATATAGTATGAAAGCAAAGAAAATGTGAACTGTGGAACGCAGCCGTTATTTGAGGCAAATTAGTCGGATGAGAACAGATGTTGAAATGCGAGTTCCACATCAATTCGATTACCAATGAGGCATCCAAGAATGACTGAAAAAGCCCAGTTAAGTGTGAACAAAAACGTGAACAACATAACCACTACACAATACTCTCAATTCATGTTCATTCATGCGACGTGAAAGTTCCAACCTTCATCATTGAAACGTGTTCATTACTAGTTACTTCAATTATTACTTGATTCATTAGTGTCATAATAATAACAGTAATCATCATGATTAACTTCATACTTATCTCACAAATGATATTGTCATTATTTTCATATCGATTATCTCAAAATTATCATTTATCATTGCAGTTAGCATCAATACCATTATTAACATAATGACTTCAATTCTATCACTGTCACAACGGACTAAGTCACGTATCTTATATCTTTATCATTTTTCAACGTGAATACGAGCAAGCTAGCAAATTGAATTGATGGAGAGGGATATAAAACATTCTAGAGCTTTGCCCATAGGGCTTTCAGTCGAGTACAAGTCAAGGCCAGCGAACACAATTGCATTCAATGACTAACAAATAAATGTATTCAGCACAATCAACTAAGCATAACTGAATCAACTAAAGAACTTAACTCAACGTCATTGTGAG